TAACCAAGAAAGCCCACACGCCCGAAACACGGCACGTGTGTGAATAGTAACCAGGGAAGGTACGTATGATGGTGGAGTTCGTAACCCTTATCACAACATTATAAAATGATATTTTCTTCCTTAATTCAATTGTGCCAAACCTCTATATCTTTCGGATATATCATAATTCTAAATCAGATAAAAACACATTGAAATATTAACACTTCCTTTCCAAGGCATCGTATTAAGAAGACATCCGAAGGGCCTGGGCAAACTCCGACGGGCCTGGGCAAAATAAATCAATCTCCGACGGGCCTGGGCAAAATAAATCTCAAACATAAAACCCATAACCGAAGAGGTATTTAAGATAGTGCGTATAGCACTTCAAACTGACAATCTATACTCTTTTCATACCTTTATAAATACATACAAAAATATATATATTAATTTCTAATATTGTAAGCACCTCAACGACAATTCACAGGGTGGCACTTATAGTGCCCTCAAGCATCTTTATAACATACTAATATATATTTAAATATAATCCACTATTGCATCAACCTCAACCCCAAAATATAACATCCAATAAACCCCCAATTTATCACCATAAATTGACATCCTAATCCCACATAATCAATATCACTCAACAACTCTCAAGACCTGTCACTAGGGTCATTATAATCTTCCTAGAAAGGTAACACTACCCAGGAAGTCTCACGGTCAACCCAGGGTCAAACTACCCAATCTCGGTTAAACGGGCCCCCGGGTCCACGACCTTCAATTTCCGATCCAACAGTTCCTATAAGTCCTACAAGGTCTAGGACACACGTTCTCCAAGTTTAATCCGGATCGGACGATCGAACGGTTACTAAAACCCTAACCCTAGGGTTGGCTTATCCGGAGTATCCGGGACTCCGTTTTACGATCCGTCGAATCCTATACGATCCTAGTACTGCCTAGATCAACATATTATAATCTCAGGACCATCCAACGGTCCTGTAACATAGAGAGGATCGCAGTGGGACAAAAATGCCCCTCAGCTACAGTGCCCACGCGCCGCCACACGCGCCGGCAGCGCGTGGGTGTCCAAAGCGATATCGCATCGCTGGAAAATCTTAGAATCTCGTGCCAAGACTCCTACCCTAGGTAATAAACCTAATTTGGAGTCACTTTTGTTCTTGGGCATACCCCAAAAAGGCATACCACAAAAATTGACCGGAAGTGGCCGGAATCTCATCCCGAAATCCGGCCGAAATCCAATTTGAAGATCAAACATCCTACGCTCAAAATCGATGCAATCCTACCCAACCATCAGCTAGATCATGAAAAATAGGTAGAAATCCATACCTTATACGTCCAATTTGGTGGAGAAATGAGAGAGAACGAGCGATTTGAAAATTCGGGAAAAACCGCCGGATTTTCTGCAGTTTCCGGCCAAACTCGCAGCTGCTGGCGACGGAGCTTGGCTGGGGTTGGAAGCGGAAGACCAGCCGGTCATTTTGAGACCAACACCACCTCGAATGGTGGCCGGAGGAAGCGGTGGCGGCGGAAAAACCGTCGCTGCTGTTTTGACAGGGAGGAGAGAGGCTGCGCGGGGAGAGAGAGAGAGAGAGAGAGAGAGGGTTTTCAGATTTTATTAAAAACCCATTTCGAAATATTTACAATTATGTCACTGAAGGTAATTTGATCGTATCTCTCTCGTCACAACTCCGATTCGAGCCCACTACGTGTCTACGGACTCATCTCGCCGTGCTCTACGCAACGGTATTGTTGAAATTTCCAAATTCCATCCCGATCAAAAAGTCAACTCTAAACCTCACAAAATAATCTAAGGGCAAAATGGTCCTTTTATCTGAATAAATTAATATGCACCAATTTATTTAGAACCGGGTCCTTACATGCAGCTTTGTGCCTGATATAGCTATGTTGTTCTAAAGCTGGCTTTGTATCCTCTGTTGGCCAGAGAAGATGCTGCATATGGACATCATTCTCACAAATTGAGTCTGGTTAATGATGTTGTGTGTTGGGCTACAAGATCTATGAAAAATTGTATTATCAGGTGACAACTTTTAATATTTTAGTATTATATATCAACACCATAATAGCAACTCTCGTAAATGTGATGATGCCTTGGGATGATAGCTTTGGCATATAAAATATAGTCATGCTTTATTAGAATGGCAGCCTTTAGGCAGACATCAGATGGTATGATGCATAGATAGAGTGATAAAGTGATGTGACTATTTGACTCACATACTAAACAAGATAATGATACAATATAATAATGGAAGTGACAAGTAAAATAATGGTAGTGGAAATAATAAGAAAATGATGCAAGCTGGTGCACCATATAATGCATCAAACTATAATAATAACCATTAATCAATCAACCCTTTTGACTTGGGCAGACCAACCCACGTGCTTTTGTCTATGCTTAAGACAATTCAATGAAGCATGAATTTTATGAATATATTAAAACAATAAACAAATATATATGCTATATTGAGATTAATGAGACAAAAAATCTTATTTTGGTGAAGCCATTCGCAGAGATGAGGCTGAGAGCATTGAGCAAGTGTTCCTTCTCCCTTTCTCATTGAGTTTGCACAACTCTAGAGAGGTAAAGGCTGTTAAGAAGGTGATTTATGGCGATGGCCAGATTTGCTGATGATGTTTCATGGTGGAGAGGTGAATGGCAGGGCTAGCCTCAATCTGTGAATGGATGTTGAGCTCAACCTTCTTCTGCTCAAGCTTTCATTTCTCTTCTCTGCTTCGTATGCTTTGTTTCTCTCAAGTTTGAAAACATTTTCTTTGATTTTGCATCAAATTTGCTTGGCATGAAGCCCCCAAGTTATTTGGATTTGGGGACAATTGAGGAGTTTGCTTTTGTGTCTCTGGTACCTCAGTGGCACGAATGCTCGACTTGCCTCAACCCCAGGGGTCCTTTCATAAGATTTCGTTTAGCTTGAGAGCATAGATCTAATAAATAGAGAAAGAGATAATGTTACCAACTTTATTTTTTTTTTTGGGTTGTTCTACAGAGCATATGGCTAAGAAAGAGAAACAAAGGAGGAAACACTCTTATCTTTGGTATCTTCCATCGACTGACTTAAATCTTGTGTGGAGAAGCCGCTGTAAGAATAATGGCCTAGTCCCTAGTGAAGTCGCCATTTATGTTGGGGTCTTTTTCGTCGAAAGGCTCATCCGGGCTTATTGATTCTTGGACCGCCATAGAGTGATGAATCAAGCCTTCAATGCCCTTTTTCTGAGTTAGCAAGAACTAGGCCCAAAGTACCCCGAGGGAGGGGAGTACTTTGTTCTTCTTCCAGCAACTGCGTGTTTTGTGTTGATGTTTCCGGCAGCTCGACGATGAGTTGAAGATGACTTGCTGATGTTGATATGAGATTATATGAGCTTGGCATGAGAGCTTGGAGTGTGGGAGCTAAAGACCCACAAGTTTAGCAAATGAGAATGCATGTGCTCGGCTTGGTGTTTGATATATTTGAGTTTGGTGCTGATAATTTGTTGTGTGTGGCTATAGCTATGGGGATTTAAGAGTTTCAAGAGAAGGAGGATGTAAGGAAAAGCTTGAGGTTTGAAGGCTATGGTGTTTAAAGCTTGGAAGGAAAGAAAAGCTTGGAGTTATGCTTGGTGAGGCTTTATGGAGAAGATGATGGATTTCAAGGGTGAGAAAGTAGAAGACATGGTTGTGATGGCTGAGGAATGACTGTGAAGGCTACTGGAATACTAGCAACAACTAAGGAAAGGTGAGTTCTCATGGTTGCTGAGAAGCTTGCAACAACCAAGAGGGGTTGATGGCTGCTGGGATGCTTGCAGCAGCCGAGTAAGAAGTGTTGGCTGAAGAAAAATTGGTTCCCTTTGCTTGAGCCATGAATGCCAATTTATAGAGGGTGAGGGTTTTCCTTTATTTC